CATAATCACGCAGGTATTTTCAATTACCTGATTTTTGCTTAATAGACCTTTCTCGAAAACTTATTGGAAAACATAAGCGAATAGACCGCAAGGAATTTCCCAAAGGGAGGAGGTTCTCGAACTACTCCCTTTTGGAAGTACTTCAAAGAGTAGGAGAGTCCAGAATCAGATATGAAAAAAATGTCGATAAGGAACATCATAATGTTCGTGGGACGCAGGCATTTCTCACTCCTTTTTTTCCTTTCAAGGCCGTGCGCTAGACTTTTGTAACGGGAACTCACAGAAACGATTTGTCACGTGACATGACTGACTTTAGTTTTTAGTTTAGTGAAAATGGGCTTCCAAAGTGCTACATCCCTTTGACTTTCACTCTATATTTTCATCATGCAATTACAACAGTAATGAGAAGCAGAACAAAGAGATTCTTCTCGAGTCAACCCCCTAACTAGTAAATGCTCTCTCGAATTCCAATTTTCCCGACCTCTTCAAACCTACAGCATCTCTTTGTTTTATAACCCAAGAATCAATCTCTATATCTGCCTCACTTCGTTGTTATTCAGAAAGAACAACAAGCACACCCACTTTTGCAGGTCTTCGATACCGGTGGCGTACTGGGCATTCTGTCGCCGAAAATGATGGGGCGTGGTGGTCGGCGATTTTCACGTGTCATCCACGATCCCATCAGAGACTCGGCCCTCTAAACGGATGCCAATCTCAAACACTCCCTAGGTACTAAAGGAGAACAAAATGAAGCCACACACAAAAAGCAGATCTCTAAAAGCCATTTAAAACTAAGAATTCTACGGCAAAACAGCAGATAACACACAAATTTCTATACGGTGTAATGCACTTTCCTATCAAGCCATCACGGGACGACCCTACAGGACCAGAGGTCGATTCCATGAGAGGGTTTTCTCAAAACGTACTCAATCAAATGTTGCCCAAACCTCGTTTCACGCCAAGCGTTCTTCATTCATTAAAGACGGCGTACCAATTCATTTTTCACTTAACAAAACATTCATCCCGGTTCATCTCAATACAGTTGTTAAGGAAAGTCGCGATCACACCATCATTGTTTGGTTTTAT